GGAGTGTCTTGAGGTGTTGTGGGGCCCTCGTCACCAGGGATGCCGCTGACGGCCGTCTGAGCTGTTGTGGGCCTCTGTTCGCCAGGGTCGCCGCTGGCTGCCGCAGGAGTGCTTGAAGACTCTTCGCCTGCGTCTTCTTACCCAGTCTGCTGGCCGTCAGGGGTGCCCGGAAGGGCGTCAGGGAGCGGGGGTACCTCCACCTGACCCGTTCCGTTCCCTTCCCCTGTGTTTTTCTGCTGGTGGGGATACGCGAAGCGTCTAAAATATGTTGGGGTGATGCCGGTACAGGACTCGCCAACAACAATATAACACATGAGCGGTTTCTGTTTTCGGCGCTTGGCGCGGTCGGCGGTGCTCTTCAGTGCCGGCACGAAACGTCCGGCCCACGCGCTGAAGGCCGTGCGCGAGTCCACGGTGTGCCCTCGCAGCATGGCAGGACGCCCTTTTCCTGACAGGTGTCCGAACTACAGCCAACCCGTACCCTAAAGATGCGCGATAAGGACGCAAGGGACTTGGATGGCCATGTGAGCGTGTTTTCGAACGAGGCCAGCCAGCGAAAGTCGCTCAGGATAAGCCGAAGGGGCACGGGTGCAAAAACACCCTTGGGAAGGTTGCCCATCCTTATTATGCATGTTGGCTGTATCGGGCGTTTCCTTTTATGAACGTCGTTTCAGTGTATTTTTGACGAAACTTGTAGGAGCCGCGGCTTCTCAACCTTGGGGGCGAAGCCTCTCGGGAACCGGCGCCCCGGTGGCCAATACGATGATGAGGATGGTGGTTGGTGCCTGTCTGCGAAGAATCTGCACGGGTGCCTCCAGGCAGTAATCTTAGGTCGGGCATGTCCTCCTACAGCTGGATTTTGCAATGACGAACAGACTCTTCCAAACATAACCAACAATAGCCACAAGAGCACGACAAGTTGTCACCATACTATGTATTAATTAGTCTTAGATGTTCCTCCTATAGAAGGACACGCCCGACATAACAGCCACTGGTCGCTGGGGCATCGGATCGGGTCGGAGTTCTCGGATCGCCAGAGCACCGCAATCGGGGGCGCGCAAGCATGGATTAGCGATCCATGGGTTTCGCGCGCGGTCGCCAAATCCATGGATCGGGGGAGGTGCCCTCCCCAAAATGCGGCCGGTGCCGCCTCGCTCGGCGGCAGCAATCCGTGATTCCCCATGGAAACGGGACCCGTCGCTAATCCACGCCCCCATTAATCCATGTTTGCGATCGCCTGCATAACAGTCACCAGTCTCTGAGGCATCGGATCGGGCCAGCGGAGTTCTCAGATCGCCAAAGCACCTCGAGTCTCCGACGTCGCGTCTTTTCGTTCACAAGGCAAGCCCCCGAAAATCTGCCCGCCGATCCCCCGCTTGCCAGGGGTGAAGGAGGCGTGTGAGACGTTCAGCCGTCTCCCATCCTTAAGTCGGGCCTGTCCCTCTACAGGAGGAATAATCAAAAATAGTTTAAAAAAATAATCAGGGGACTATTGTTTTACTATTTTGACCATTCGGGGCATATTTTAAACATATGTTTAATTTCTCGCCCAAAATCCCCCTGCAGGGGGACAGGCCCGACCTAACCCCATCCCCCTTCCCCCGTCCCCCGGGGTTAGTTAGGTTGGGCACGTCCTCCTGCAGGCGGATTTTGGGAGAAATCCTAAAAGTAAACAGCACGAGAGGCCAAGTAATAAACAGCACGAAGAGGCAATCAACAACATAATCAAGAATAGTCAAACAGCAGCACGAAACATCGTCACCAGCTTTTGCTTCTACTATTCTGCAATACTCCTCTTGTAAAGGGACATGCCTCCCGACTTAACCCGGGGGTCCCAAATGCCATTCTAGGGGATGGGGGGGGGGGCACGAGCTCGTCAACTTAGCCCCAGGGCCTCCGGAGCCCCCAAAGAGCCCCAAGACAGCCCAACAGGGCCCAGACAGAGCGCCAAAACAATCAAAGAGAACGTCAGGACGGCCCAGGGTGGCCCCGCGACGATCCAAGATGGCTTCAAGATGGCCCACGAGGCCACCCCAAAAGCGCGTCCAGAGGATCGCCGGGAGGGCCCCAAGAGACCAACATCATTCCATTCTCAGCACATTCGCAAATTCGCATTTTACGTTTTGACAGCGAACACGACGGCCCAAGTGGCCCCCAAGATCGTCCCAAGACGGCGCATGATGCTTCCGAGAAGGCCCCAAAACGGCGCAAGAGAGCCCAAAGACAGCCCCAGGAGATCCCCAAGACGCCCAAGACAGCCCTTGGAGGGCCCCAAGAGGGCTCCAAAAAAGCCGAGAGAGGGGGGTACGAACTGACATTTCCAGCCTTTCCCATCAAGATGGCCCCTCGAGCCTCCCAAGGCCTCCGAGGCCCTTCCGAAAGGCCCCAAGAGGTCCCCAAGACGCCCCCAAGAAGCCCCCGAGAGGCCCCCACGCGGCCCCCCAAAGCCTCCTCCCAGGTTCACCCAAAGAGTTCTCCGAGAGGCCCCAGAGACATCCCAAGAGACCCTCAAATGCATCCCAGAGTTGAACAGGGGCTAGCCGTCCCGGCATGCCTACCACGAAATGTTCTCATAATAAAAATAATGTTCTTAAGACAAATCCATTATTCCTCACATGAAGCCAAGAAGAGATCAATCTCAGCCAGAAAGGTTGTAATAACTCTGCGTGCAAATCACAGGAAACGATTAGAACATGTCTTTTGAAAGAGTCTCTTGTCCCCAGATCTAATATAACCTCCACGATCGTCTCAAACACTCACTCTTTGTGGGGGTCGGCGGAATGGCGCTAGCGACTTGAATAAACCCCTTCCCCAGCACGGGTTTTTCATTCCGAGTTGTTTCTTGACGGTCTCGGGCGTCAAAGGAGGCCGAAGCTGGCCGAAAACCTGAAATCGCGATTTCTTCACAACGAGGAGGTGAGGGACCGCCAGAACCTCGGAATCGAATCGAAGTAGGGGCCTTCAGATCTGATCCTGTGTACAAGCTTGACTGATGCGCAGCAACCGAATGACAGTACATAGATGGGGAATGTACTTCTTTTATTATTTGTCTTTCCTCCTCCCTTCCAATATTGTCTTTCCAGCCTCTCCACCTCTTCTTCCTCCTATCCCTCAGCCCTTTCCTGCCCTACCTTGGGCTCCTCACCTTTTCTACCTCCTCGTCCTGCCCTCGCCTTCCCGGGGGCGCGGTGCCCGCGCCCTCGAGCGGCATATTTTCGTGGCGCTCCTCCAGGCTCGCCTGTCTGATGGCGACGGCCCGCCTAAGCAGGCCGGCATCCACCTCTTTCCTGCGTTGCAGGCCAGGTCGGCCAGAGGAGGCGCGCCAGAGGGTCTCCGCTTCGCAGCGCCAGACCACGTGCTCGCTCGAATTCCGGCGCCTCGCTCTTCCCACAGCGGAATGCTCCTCCACTGCCGTGCGCCCGTGTCGTCGTACTCCTGCACCTCCTCGCTCCTCTCTGCCCTTCGCCGCCTGCAAGTGCGCCGGCGAAACGAATGCCCCGGACATTACGCTGGCCGCGTGCGTGCTGCCCTCTGCCAGAAGCCTCGCGGCCTTGAAACACCGCTCGACTCGTCGCACTTCTCGAACAGGCACAGTCACGAACCGTTAGTTATGGTTTTGCTCCCACCACCTCCAAAAAGGTTCACGGGCCAGCCCTCCTGGGAGCACGTGCTCGAAGCGTCTGCTCGCTGCCCTTGCCTTGCACAAGCTGAGAATTACGTCCGTGACTGGGCGCCTCCACTCCCACCCGTCACGTTCCTGCCATCCGCAGCCCTTCCGATCCGATCCTGACGTGTAGAGACCAAGAAGACCAGCGAAACGAAACGAAGCGTTTGTGGGCGCACTGGTGGTGAGGCGAGGCGAGCGCGCAGTGTCGCCCCAGCGGGACTGGCTCCGAGAGGGCAGCGAGGGGGAGGTGGAACCCTTCATTCGGATGCCCAACGTGGGTACGGACAAAAATGAGCACGATGCCCAACCGCTAACTTTGCCCAAAGCCGACAGCGGCGACATCGACAACGAACCCTGGTCAGAATGGACCGGGCACCAGGGTGCAGGGCTGCGCACAGACAGCCGCCCCAGATCATCCCAACCGGCCCCAGCAGGCCCCCCGAGCTGTCCCAGCTGGTCTCTCAACGCCCCGGCCCCGGGGCGCGGAGCGCACCCGGGGCGCCGCTCGAGGCAGCGCCAGGCGCCAGGGTTTTGAGACCACCCCGGGCAGTTTGGGGGCCTGTGGAGGCCAGCCGGGGCTCTTGGCGAGGCGTTACGCGCAATCCCGAAGCCACGCCAAACGAGAACTGCTGGCATCGGAGACGCACTGACCCGGGGTCAATGCAAACCCCGGTCAGTCAGGCTCGATCCTGCAAGATCCTGCGCACAAGCCCAGGTCAATGCACCTCAAAAGAGAGCCGTCCGCATCACCGAGGTCTGGGGACCCGTCTCGTCATCGCTCGGACGTCCATTCCCCGTGCATTGTTCGACGTCGCGCGGGTCTTTTTCGCGAGAAGATCCAAGATGTTCCTCGATGGTCCCATCGCCCCCCAAAAAACGCACACGTCCGAACGATGCCAAGCGGCGGGAACGAAGACGCAGCGCCAGGATCTCAGGGTCCTTCTCCTCCAGAGGCCTCCCAGGTGGAGTCAGAGTAGATGGGGTCGGAGGATCGCGCCAAATAGCCGATGCAGCGCCCATGCATCGGCGATGCATCGGCGATATCGCCGATGCATCGGCGACGACGGTGTGAAGGAAGTCGAGCTTCACATCGAGCGGCGCGATCCTCCGACCCCACCTACTCGGACCCCATCTGGGAGGCATACAGTGGAGGCCAGTCCACAAGACACCTGCCACAAGAAACCCAACCCTGAAACCCTGGGACGTCCATTGATTTTTGGTGTGGGAACGTTACGCTCTCCATCGCGAAAACATCGAAACCCAAGACACCCAGGGTACCCCGGAGGCGAGCTGGCACAGACCCTCCGCCTCATCTCCAAGAGAGCCGGCTCGCCTCATGGCGGGGCGCCCGCCGGGGGGGAGGGCCCGCGAAGCGCAGGCGTGTGCTGTTGGCGGTCTCTGGGCCGAGAGGCGGCCAGAGGGCGCGGCGCGGGGCTTGCTCTCTGCCTCCTGCCAGGGGCGGGCAGGCGGCGCTTCGGGGGAGGCTTCAGGGATTCCGAGTCTCGGGCGGGCGGCAGTTAGCGGGGGGTGATTTACGTCGGGGGGTGGAGGTGTGAAGAAAATTGCCAAAAAGGGGCCCTTTCTCGAGGGCACCGTTTGGACCCCTGTTGGCTCCAGAAGGGGCCCCGAAGGGCCCTTCTCGTCACCCCCCATTCAAATCACTCCCCACTATTTGGAGTCCCGAAACAGTGCGGTGACAGACCGTGCGGTGACCTCGAAATCCCGAGACCTCACCGCACGGTCCGTCCACGCATGGTCCTGGCCCCTCTCGCCCGAGACGTCCTCGGAGAGGGGGGGAGGGGGGGGGGGAGGAGGAGGCGGAGGGGGGGAGGAGGAGGGGGAGGAGGAGGAGGAGGAGGAGGAGGAGGAGGAGGAGGAGAGGAGGAGGAGGAGGAGGGGGGAGGAGCAGGAGGAGGAGGAGGAGGAGGAGGAACGAGGAGGGGAGGAGGAGGAGGAGGAGGAGGAGGATGAGGAGGAGGAGGAGGAGGAGAGGAGGAGGAGGAAGAGGAGGAGGAGGAGGAGGAGGATGAGGAGGAGGAGGAGGAGGAGGAGGAGGAGGGGGAGGGGGAGGAGGGGGGAGGAGGAGGAGGAGGAGGACGAGGAGGAGGAGGAGGAGGAGGAGGAGGAGGAGGAGGGGGAGGACCTCGCCCTGGAGCCCCAAGACCATGCGGTGGCCCACCCCAAAGGACTCCGCCGACTCACCACGCGGTGTGGCCACCACCCCGTTCGGGGGGCCCCCGACGCTGCCGCCCGCCCGAAGGTGGGCCTCGCGCGCGCGCGTCCAGGCAGGGGCGCGACGAACTGCCGACGACGACAACAACGACGACGACGACGACGACGACGACGACGACGACGACGACGACGAGGGCGACCGACGGCGGCGAAACGGCACAGCGACGACGAGCCGACCGCAGCGATGCGAAGGAGGACGACGGGACGACGACGAGCGGCCGCGGCCGGCTCGGGGGAAGGGGGGGTGGTCGGCGAGAGCCGTAGGAGGTGCGGCGGCGGAGGGAGGGGGGGCAGACAAGCTGGGTGCGTCCCCTTCCTCCTCACCCTCCTCCTCCGCATCCTCTTCCTCCTTCTCCTTCTCGTCCTCCTCCTCCTCCTCCTCCTCCTCCTCCTCGCGTCATATCTGACATCCTACCCCTCCCTCCCATCCCTGACCATGGCGTAGATCTCCTCTCTGTTCGCACAGTCGGATGTCGAGCAAGTCTTTGATCCCGAGAGTGTGCGCGATGCATCGTAGAGCACGGCACATCAGGGCGTGGAAGAGCACGACAGAGCGTAGTAGGTCATAGCATGGCGTGGCGTGGCGTCGTGAAGAATTGTATCACAAAGCATTGCAACGCAAACAATGGCATCGCACAGCGGCACAGAAGAGGACATGCCATAGCATGGCGTTGAAGATCATAGCGTAGCATGGCATAGCATGGCGTGGCAATGCGTAGTCAGGCACTGCATGTCTTAGCATTGCAGCTGAAGGCATGGCATCGCACAGCGGAACACCACATAGCATTGCACTGCATGCCGTGGCATGGCACTGGAAATAATGACGCCAACGCTGCAGCGGGAAACCGTACAGCAGAACACCACATAGCATTGCATTGCATGCCGTGGCATGGCACTGGAAATAATGAAGCCAACGCTGCAGCGGGAGCACGATTCGGAACGAGCGGAAGCGCGGAAATGAGGCCAGCGCTGCAGCGGGAGCACGATTCGGAACGACCGGAAGCCCGAGAATGAAGCCAACGCTGCAGCGGGAGAACGATTCGGAACGAGCGGAAGCCCGAGAATGAGGCCAGCGCTTCAGCGGGAGCACGATTCGGAACGAGCGGAAGCCCGAGAAAGAGGCCAGCGCTTCAGCGGGAACAACATGTTCGAAAAACAAAAACACCTGGAAATCCTGTGTAGAAAAAAACAGCTCGCGGATGGGGGCCGAACATCTTCCGGACGTCATCCGGAGAGAGCGGAGAGTTGTATTCATATGTTGTAACTGTACACGGAGCAGGAGGAACCGTGAGATCCTGGCATTACCTTTTTTTCACGTTGGGCGTTTTCGCCAAGTTTCGGACCCCAGCACCCTCGCAGATGGATCCGTCTCGAAAAATGACGCAGACAGCTGGGGCCCGGGGATCCAGTCGCGTTTTTCCTAACAATCCTGTGGTGTTGGGTCCTCGTTTTGAAGAGACGGTCCCCGCGTCCTCCTTCTCCTCTCCTCCTCCTTCCCCTCCTCCCTCCCTCCCTTGGCACACCCCTCACACGGTTCGCGGCCCCATAGGGAGCTCCACCTGAGGTTCCGGTGGCGCAGTCCGCATGGCGGCGCCGCCCTACTTCGTGGCCCCATAGGGAGCTCCACCTAAGGTCCCAGTGGCGCAGTCCGCACGGCGGCGCCGCCCCATTTTGGCACACCCCTCACGCGTTCCGTGGCCCCATGGGGAGCTCCACCTGAGGTCCTGCGCATCGTTATTCTCATCGCCATCATCGCCGCTCGCCCCGTGCACGCTTCGTGGCCCCATGGGGAGCTTCACCGAAGGCCCCAATGGCAGCGCCGGCATGGGGCCCCCGCCCCATCTTGGCACACCCCTCACACGCTTTGTGGCCCCATCGAAGGGGGCTCTGCACCAGGGCCCAGGAGCAGCGCCCGCATGGTGGCACCGCCCCAGTTCGGCACACTCTTCACGAGCTCTGTGGCCCCAGGAGGAGATCCACCGAAGGCGATACAACGACGGTGCTCACAACTGCACATGCTCGGGTCCTTCGCCAGGCTAGTTTTGTTGGGCTCGCCTTCTCCCTGAAGCCTGGTCCGCGGAGAAAGGTGGGGTCTGGGGCTCCAGTGGTGATCTCCAGCGCTGTTGCAATTCTTGCCGCAACGTCGGATCTCCAGGGAAGCGAATAGGGGGGCAGGGTCGGGGGGCGGCTCCTGGGGTTCGGCGAGATCCGAAGGGGGTCGGGGAGGGGTCGGGGAGGGGGTTCGGCGAGATCCGAAGGGGGTCGGGGAGGGGTCGGGGAGGGGGTTCGGCGAGATCCGAATGGGGGTCGGGGAGGGGTCGGCGAGAGCCGAGGAACGGAGGAGAACGATTCGGGAGGGGGGCGGCGAGGTCCGAATTATAGGTCCGAGGGCGGAGACAGGGAGGGCGGCGAGAGGGAGGGCGTGGAGGGGAAGGACATAGGAGCATGACCGAGGCCCGACGCAGAGACGTCGTGCAGATCTTGGTCACCGTCGATCTGGGTCAGCGTCAGTTCGTGGATCCTCCTCGCGAATCCGGCGACGGCCGACATGGACTGGTGCCAAGATGCACCTCGGCAGAATCCCGCGACAGCTTGGTCATGGTCCCCGTGGTTCGCTCTCCCCTCGAGGGAGGAAACCATGATCAGGAGGGAACCAGGGGGCATACAGAGAGGAACATGACGCAGAGAGGACGCGGAGGAGCGGTGGCAGAACGATGATGCGGAGCAGGGGGGGGAGCAGGGGGAGGAGCAGGAGGGGGAGGGACCCTCCGCCTTCCCCCTGGCCATCGCTCGGGCGCCCATTCCCGGGTGTTTCTCGGTTTCGCGCGCGATTGCTTCGGACGCAATTCGACAGCCCTCGCCGAAAAAAATGACACACGTCCGAGCAATGCCAAGCTCCTCTGGGCGCGCCGCTGAGTGTGCCTCTCTGTTGTCTTTCGAGAAGGGGGGGGGGAGAAGAACAAAGCGCGACCGCAGATCTCGACACAACTCGCCAGAAGTGGACCAGGGAACGGGCCGAGGTGGGAGGCCGAGGAAGAGAAAGAGGAGGAAGACAGGGAGGAGGGGGAGGAGGAGATGGAGGAGGAGGAGGAGGAGGAGGAGGAGGAGGAGGAGGAGGAGGAGGGATGGAGGAGGAGGAGGAGGAGGAGGAGGAGGAGGAGGAGGAGGAGGAGGAGGAGGAGATCGCGACCACCGTGCGAGTCCAGAAGCCCGAGCCGCCGCCCCAAACCAGCCGACCCCACCGGGGTGTGACTCTCCCTGCTGCTCCCAGCCTGGTGCAGCTTCCGCAACCTCCCTCCCTCCTAGAGGCCTCCCAGATCTCGCCATCGCTCAGACGCCAATTCTCCGTGCATTGTTGGATCGCGCGCGTGTCTATTGTTGTTGCTCGATGTTCCAGGATGCTGCTCGATGGTCCTCGTCGAGAGCAAATGCACACGCCCGGGCGATGCCAAGAGATTGGGTGCGAGCATATTGTGCCCGACAAACAAACAAGGAGCTCCCCCCTCCTCCCGTGAGGAAAGGTCCTCTTTCACAAACAGCCATCTCTCCTCCTCCCCTCCCCCCTCCCGGAGCAATCATCATCCATTCGAGAAGTCGGCTCGGTTCGGAACGTGCGTCGTGTCGGGCTACATCGGCACGGAGTCGAAATCGAATGGGATCGGCTGCACCAAAGGGCACAACAACGCCACGCAAATATCGGGCCGCGTCGCGTCGCTGGAATGTCAGAATTGGATCGGATCGGGCTGGCTGGAATTGATACCGAATCGGATCGATGGTGTCGAAACGACCCTGCCTCCCCCCTCTCCGTTGGGGGAGTCAGAAGGTACCGATACTGCTACTCCCCAGACCTCTCCTGGGGTGCGTCCTGACAACGATCTCGAGGCGAATCCAGCGGTGGCGACGAGAACCTCCCAGGAGGCCAACAAAAAGGCGAACACGAGGCGAGTCGGGGTGGCGGTATAGGTTTCCTCCTCTGGTCCTTCGCGTCCGCGGCCTCTCTTTTCACAGACAACCGATCACAATCAGGAGGCCCTTTCGTCTGGCCGCTCGCCGCCCACTTCCGCCTCCTCTAAGCTCATGTCGGGCATGTCCTCCCACAGGCGGATTCTGGAAGGAAAATTAAAACAGCAGTCAAACAACAACTAAACATAGTCAACCATATTCGA